GGGCACATCCCCTACAAGAGGCACAAATATGGAATTAAACTTTTCGAACTATGTTGCGAAGTTGATTACACTTGCAGGATCAAGATCTACACACGGAATTAGTCTTCAAGGGAGGATCCAGTAGCTGCATCTGTGGTCATGAAACTAATGGGCGGTCTTCTGGATCAAGGTAGACACCTCTGTACCGATAAAAGGTATTCAAGCGTACCTCTGGGTAACAGCTTATTGAGCGAAGCACCCACTTGTTCGGGTTTTTGAGAAAAATCGGAAAGGAATACCAACAAAAGTCAAGAACAGGAAGATGAAAAGAGGGCAAACGTACTATCAGCAAAATAAGGACGGAGTATTGGTTTTGAAGTGGAAGGATAAAGGTGATTTGTTCATGGTTTCCACGGGACACGATGGGTTCATAATTCCTAACGGCAAACCGCAAGTCGTCGAAAATTTTAACAAACTTATGGGATTGTCGATCAAAGCTACCAAATGTCTGCATATACTCTATTTGTGAGGAGAAGTACTGATGGTATCTCAGCATTTTCTTCCATATGATGACACAGACAACATTGGTAAATTCCTGGAAAATGTACAATGATGTGGTAAAGAAAATGAGACTTAATGATTCCAAAATGAGTGTTATTGAATAAATTCTGGAAAATGAAAGAGTTAGCCAGCAACAAGTTGCAGCCTGGAAGAATTGCTCGGTCGGAAAACAGAAGTTCGTAAAAGATGCATAAGTTGTTATAAACAGTTTCTGGAGACTACGTTCACGCTTCCAGCAATACAAGACGAGTCAGTGCTAGGTGCGTTAAATGTAAAATTTATTTTCGCATTGATTGAATCCGAAAAATTCACAAAAAGTATGGTTTCCAGCAGAATGATTGAATTTGTCAGAACTTTGTTGAGATTAATAATGTATTTCTCGACCCATTCCGTGTATACTATCATTTGGAGATTTTGAATCCAATGAATACAAAAAGCTTAAAAATAATAACCAAAAAAGAACTACAATTGAGAAGAGTGCGTTCTTAGTACACGAAGTGTAGTGTCACTCATACCGCAGCCATCCTGCTGTGCACAGGGATGAGCAGGTATGCAAGCCCTGGTAAGACCTTACGTACAGCGTCTCGAGGGAGCTCGACGTTGGACGAGCAACCACCAGCGTACTGCGGAGGCAGTACCAGCCCGTAGGAGGACGCAATAAGACTGGGACATCCTAGGCCTACCATGTACATATGGGTTCAACTATCAGCGAGCGGGCAGAAGACCCCGGTCACCAGGCTCACGCCGCCTCGGTCATCCCGCCGAGCAGCCATCGACGCAGAAAGGCCTCAGTGGGATGGCTCTGACTGCGCGACAGTTCCCTACTACTTCCCAATGTGACGAAATATCTGCAATCAGTTTCTCTCCATGTTTTCCGCCCCAACATAGAACAGTACTCCACTCCGGCATTTCTGTGCAAAATTGTTCGCCATCCTGTTTTTTAATCCGCTAGTTTCTTCGGAGCGCTACGGAGAATAATGTGAAAGCCCTTCTTCCCGTGTCGGCCGAGGAGAGCAAGCTTAAAGGCACTGTTCACGAAAAAGTGGTTTCGGAAATTTGCACATGGTTTGAATTCGAAGCCCCCTCT